TTGATTGGTTGTGTAAAAGTTTTGTCATATAAATGTATTGGGGAGCTTCCAATTAGCATACATAGACACATGTGTCCATGGCTAAGACCTGCTTATATTTTGCTTTATAGATGTAGTCATAGCATGTTGTTAATTGCCTCATGTAAATAAAAAGGCTATGAAGTTTTCCAGTAATATTTATTAATCTGTATGTGTTTTAAAATAAAATAACTTATTTCTAGCTGAACATTTGTTGATTTTTTTTTCCCTTTACTTGAAATGCTCATGTAGTCTCAGGTTCCAGGTCATCCCAGTTCCTCACATTTTTCCTATCTTCTTTTTAGAAATAGGTAGCCTAGGGTGGGTGCAGTGGCTCATGACTGTAATCCCAGCACTTTGAGGGACCAAGGTGGGTGGATCACTTGAGGACAGGAGTTTGAGACCAGCCTGCTCAACATGGTAAAACCCCATCTCTACTAAAAAATACAAAAATTAGCCAGGCATGGTGGTACACGCCTGTAGTCCCAACTACTCAGTAGGCTGAAGCAGAAGGATCACTTGAACTTGGGAGGTAGAGGTTGCAGTGAGCCAAGATCACAGCACTGTACTCCAGCCTGGACAACAGAGCGAGACTCCATCTCAAAAAAAAAAAAAAGAAAAGAAATGACTAGCCTCTAGATCTCCGTAACAATGTAGAAAATGTCTACCTGTGGGCCAGGTGCGGTGGCTCATGCCTGTAATCCCAGCACTTTGGGAGGCTGAGGCGGGCGGATCACCTGAGGTTGGGAGTTCGAGAGTAGCCTGACCAACGTGCAGAAACCTCGTCTCTGCTAAAAATACAAAATTAGCCAGGAGTGGTGGTACATGCCTGTAATCCCAGTTACTCGGAAGGCTGAGGCAGGAGAGAGGCAGAGGTTGCGGTGAGCCGAGATCGCACCACTGCACTCCAGCCTGGGCAACAAGAGCAAAACTCCATCTCAAAAAAAACAAAAACAAAAACAAAAACAAAACAGGCCAAGTGTGGTGGCTCATGCCTGTAATCCTAGCACTTTGGGCAGCCGAGGTGGGCGGATCACAATGTCAGGAGTCTGAGACCAGCCTGGCCAACACGGTGAAACCCCGTCTCTACTAAAAATACAAAAATGAGCTTGGTGTGGTGGTGTGTGCCTGTAATCCCAGCTACTCTGGAGGCTGAAGCAGGAGAATCACTTAAACCCGGGAGGTGGAGGTTGCAGCGAGCCAAGATCGCACCACTGCACTCCAGCCTGGATGATAGGAGCGAAACTCTGTCTTGGAAAAAAAAAAGGAAACGTCTACCTATGCATCTACCTTCGGGAGCAAATCCATGATGTGTGCAGAAATTTCCTATCCTGCGACTATCTCTTGATCCAATGAAGTGATAGTATTGAATAAAACCAGCTCTATTTTAATATGTTAATAACTGACATATTTTTGAGTTGTATTACATATTATTTTACATTTTTAACCCATAGAAAACGAGACAATCGTAACACATTTTCATACTTCAAGCATCATTAGAAATCTTGTTGCTAGTCTTCTTTAGTGTCCTACAATTGTCTTTGTTGTTTTTTGTTGTTGTTTTTGTTTTGAGAGACAGGGTCTCACTCTCTTATTCATAGCTCACTGCAGCCTCGAACTTCTGGGCTCAAGTGACCTTCCAGCGTCAGCCTCCCTAGTAGCTAGGACTACAGGCCTGTGCCTGCACACCTGGGTAATTTTTTAATTTGTTTGTAGAGACAGGCTCTAGTTATGTTGCTCACGCTGGTGTCCTATAAGTTATTTTATCAAATGAGAAAAAATGAGTAAGATTTTTTTCTTAGTCTCTATCCCAAAAGATTTAATTATTCACATTTTCATCAAAGTGTACTTATACAGAAATCCAAGAATAAACGTTTTATGAAATCACCAACTGCATCTATGGATAATTCTTTCCAGATAGATTTTTGGGGTATTAATGCCAAATTCTGCTGTCATTGAACAAAAGCTTGGGTTGGTTGGTTACTACTATAGAGCAGCTTGTGCTAGCTGCTAGCCAAGGCTTCCCTGCAAGGGACTTGTCCTAGAATTTCTGTGTTGCTTCCTTATGTCCATCCCATCCATCTGATGACCCTTCGTTTTGACATTGTCAGCATGTTTGTTGTAGTATTCGTCACACTTACTTGTTCACCATTAGTTTGGACCTCACATGATAGTTTTAAAAAGGTTTTCAGGCAGGGCGCGGTGGCTCACGCCTGTAATCCCAGCACTTTGGGAGGCCGAGGCGGGTGGATCACAAGGTCAGGAGTTCAAGATCAGCCTGGCCAACATGGTGAAACCCCGTCTCTACTAAAAATACAAAAATTAGCTGAGCGTGGTGGCAGGGGCCTGTGGTTCTGGCTATGCAGGAGGCTGAGGCAGAAGAATCGCTTGAACCCGGGAGGTGGAGGTTGCAGTGAGCCAAGATTGTGTCACTGCACTTCAGCCTGGGTGACAGGGTGAGACTCTGTCTCAAAAAAAAAATAAAAATAAAAAGGTTTTTAGTTGGAGAGGTGAGGCACAGACGAGAAACAGATATAAAAGATCTAGGTACCTTGGCGACCAGGCACGGTGGCTCAGGCCTGTAATCCCAGCACTTTGGGAGGCCGAGGCAGGTGGATCACCTGAGGTCGGGGGTTCGAGACCAGCCTGGCCAACATGGAGAAACCCCATCTCTACTAAAAATAAATAATTAGCTGGGCGTGGTGGCGCATGCCTGTAATCCCAGCTATTCGGAAGGCTGAGGCAGGAGAATCGCTTGAACCCGGGAGGCGGAGGTTGCAGTGAGCCAAGATCGCGACATTGAACTCCAGCCTGGGCAAAAAGAGCGAAACTCCATTAAAAAAAAAAAAAAAAGATCTAGGAACCTCTCCATTACCAGTTCAAAGAGGACAGGATTCATTCCGGCCGAGCACATGAAAAAGAGTTAGGAGTGGAACTGATGGTGGCGAGCAGGAGAGTGGTGGTGCGGACAACGTAACACACACAGTGAGTCTGTAAAAATCACTGAGAGGATGGAGCAGAGGGTGGAGAGGAGGTCAGACCAGGTTGCTCATCTGTAACACCAAATCTGTTTTATTTTTGACAAAGACATTTGGGGGGTCCCAGCATCTTCTCCTTCCCTTGATTTGGCATACTTACTGTGTTAGTTTTTCTTACGGCTCTTCACAAGTTACATACCTTGTAACTTTAAACAACACACACGTATCATCTTACGGTCTGGAGGTTAGAAGTTCCACACAGGCTTTACTGGGCTAAAATCAAGGTACAGACAGGATTACATCCGTCTGGAGGCTCCTGGGGAGAGTCTCGTCTCTGCTCTTTCGGTTTCTAGAGGCCGCCTTTGTATCGTGGCTCGTGGCTCCTTCCTCCATCTTTGAAGCCAGCAATGTCACCTCTCTCTCACCACTCATCCATCACCATAGCTTACTCTCTGACTCTGACCCTTCTGTCACCCTCTTGGAAGGACCTTCATGACTGCTTTGGGCCCACATGGACAATCCAGGGTCAGCTCCCCCTCAAGATCCTCAGTCGCATCTACAGAGCCCCTTTTGCCGTGTCAGGTGGCACAGTCACAGGTTTCAAGGGTGAGGACGTGGATATCTTTGGGCATTCTGCTGACCACATCCACTTACCATTTTACCAAGTGAGGCAGTTCATAAAAGCCAACTCCTGGCTTTTAATCACTGTCCTACTGTTCTACCTCAATTCACCTTGAGTTACTCCTATATTTTTTCAGAAAGTTTCTCCCTGCTTATCCCCAACAAATGTTTTGGAAAATGCCTTACTACATTTGTAGGTCATCGATGGCCTTGAATAAACTAAATAATAGTAACTGAAAAGTTTTTATGTAATACAAATGCTTTAAAATGACAGGGAAAGCCACTATTCATTTTGGAAGGACAAAGGGCAATTTTAACTAGTGATAGGGGTTGAGGTAAAGAAAAAATGATCATCTGCTGTGCTGTTCTGATGCTTCTGTTGTAACAAAACCAAAACATGCAAGAGTAATTGGGGAACAATGTATACGTAAGAAAACTATTTGATTTCCTAATACATGATTTTTAAAAATACTGTTTTAAAGCTGTTGAAATTGTGTCATTGGTACAGAAGCATAGGCCAGATTTCTTGCTTCTGTAAAAATGACAAGATTTCAACAGCTTTATTGGGGTATAATTGACATATAATAAACTGCACATATATAAAATGTATGATTTGGTAAGTTTTGACAAGTGTCTTTTGATGAAAACAGCCAGAAACAAAACACTGAACATCCCCATCACACCAAAGTTTCTTTTTGACCCACTGTAATCCCTTCACCCTCCTTGTCTCCTCTCCTCCTAGGGACCCATTCATCTGCTTTCTGTCACTATACATTAGCTTCCATTTGCTAGGCTTTTATATAAATGTCATTGCTAAGTACACACTGCTTTTTTGGTCTGCTTGTTTCACTTACATAATTATTTTGAGACTCAGCTATGTTAAGGCATGTATCAACAGTTCATTCCCCAGCCTTTTTTTATTTTTTATTTTTTGAGGGTTTTTTTTTTGAGACAGAGTCTCGCTCTGTCCCCAGGCTGGAGTGCAGTGGTGCCATCTCTGCTCACTGCAAACTCCGCCTCCCGGGTTCACACCATTCTCCTGCCTCAGCCTCCTGAGTAGCTGGGACCACAGGCGCCCGCCACCACCCCCGGCTAATTTTTTGTATTTTTAGTAGAGGCGGGGTTTCATCGTGTTAGCCAGGATGGTCTCGATCTCCTGACCTTGTGATCCGCCCGCCTCGGCCTCCCAAAGTGCTGGGATTACAGGCGTGAGCCACTGCGCCCGGCCTACAAGTATTTTTATGGATACGTATCTGTTGAGTAAATACTTAGAACTGCCAGGTCATATGGTCGGTGTATGTTTAACTGTTTAGGAAACTGTCAACCAATTTTCCAAGGAAATGGTACCATTTTACAATTCTACCAGCAGTGTATGAGAAAGAGTTAAGAGTTTTAAAACTTTAATATCTCATGGCGACTGCTTGAACACTCAGAGTATACAAGATGTACAACATCATGGGCTGGAGAAGTGATGTGGGCATGTCAGAAGCCTGCAGCATATTAGCAAGGTATATATGTACTTATAAAGACAATGCACTGTACGGTGTGGGAGGAAGTGTCCAGAGGGAGGTCCAGACAATGACAGAAAGCTGATTAGATGAGGCGGAGCTCCAGCTGGCAGAAAGGAGCGACAAGCAAATTCATTCGTTAGGTTAAATTAACATATCGACAACTAAGCATTCCTGAAACCACTACTTCATTACTCATCTGCCTCCTAGAGCAGCAGTCCCCAACCCTTTTGGCACCAAGGACTGGTTTCAAAGAAGACAATTTTTCCACAGACGTGGTTGGGGGTGGGGAGGATGTTTTCGGGACGAAAGTGTCCTCAGATCATCAGGCACTATTCAGATTCTCATAAGGAGCGCGCAACCTAGATCCCTCCCATACGCAGTTCCCAATAGGGTTCGCACTCCTGTAAGAATCGAATGCTGCCACTGATCTGATGGGAGGAGGAGCTCTGGTGGCAATGTGAACACTGGGGAGAGATTGTAAACACAGATGAAGCTTCACTTGCTTGCCCGCCTTTCACTTCCTGTTGTGGCCCGGTTCCTAACAGGCCACGGCCCCATACTGGTCTGCCACCCAGGGGGTTGGGGACCTCTGTCCTAGAGGTGTTTGTTGACATCTGTATCAGTTAGTGATTGCTACATTCCAATCTACCCCAAAATAGGTGAATAAGACAATAACAATTTATTCTTCCTCATGTGATTATGGGATAATGGAGCACTTTTGCTGCTTGCCCCACCTTGGCTCGGTGGCTGGTCTCGGTGCGGGTCAGCCAGCATTTAGCCAGGCGGCTTTGCTGCTTGCCCCACCTTGGCTCGGTGGCTGGTCTCGGTGCGAGTCCGGCCAGCATTAGCCAGGCGGCTTTGCTGCTCGGTGCGGGTCAGCCAGCATTTAGCCAGGCGGCTTTGCTGCTTGCTTTGCCCCATGTGGTCCCCTCCTCCAGCAGGCTAGTCCAGGCATCATAATTTCGGCTGCAACTGCCACATTTTCTTGGTCAAAGCCAGTCCCAAGGCCAGTGCAGATTCAGGAAATAGATTGGAGCTGCAAAGTCACTGCAAAATGTGCGGGAAATTGGAGTCATTTTTCATTAATCTACCACATTGCCTGAAACCAACATGTCAACCGTCTTTCAATATTCAATGTAATTCCTTATCTGACAGTGTCATCTAGCCAAAACACGGCTGAGACCAAAGACAGCAACAGGTCCTCTGAGCCAGTTTTGAGATGATTGCTAGGCTCACGGCAGATTAAAAGCTTTACAATTAGAAGCTGCATAGTGACCTAGACCAAAACCAGAGCGGTCAGGGGCTGGGTATACAGTCTAGAACACAACAGTCCAATAGCATTAGAGCCTGAAAAGGACAAATGATATTTGGGGTTTTGTTTCAATAAGCGCATAATTCATTTTACAAAGATCCTCACCTGAAAAGATTTGAATTTTTCTTTTTTTTTTGAGACAAAGTCTGGCTCTGTCGCCCAGGCTGGAGTGCAGTGGTGCGATCTCAGCTCACTGCAACCTCCGCCTCCCGGGTTCACACCATTCTCCTGCCTCAGCCTCTCGAGTAGCTGGGACTACAGGAGCCCGCCACCACGCCCGGCTAATTTTTTGTATTTTTAGTAGAAACGGGGTTTCACCATGTTCGCCAGGATGGTCTCGATGTCCTGACCTTGTGATCCTCCCGCCTCAGCCTCCCAAAGTGCTGGGATTACAGGCGTGAGCCACCACGCCTGGCTTGCTTTTTTTTTTTTTTTTGAGACAGAGTTTCGCTCTTGTTGCCCAGGCTGGAGTGTAATGGCGGGATCTCAGCTCACCGCAACCTCCTACTCCTAGGTTCAATTAATTCTCCTGCCTCAGCCTCCCAAGTAGCTGGGATTATAGGCATGCGCCACCACTCCTGGCTAGTTTTTTATTTTTAGTAGAGATGGGGTTTCTCTATGTTGGTCAGGCTGGTCTTGAACTCCCAACCTCAGGTGATCCGCCCGCCTCGGCCTCCCAAAGTGCTGAGATTAGAGGCATGAGCCACTGCGCCTGGCTTGAATTTCATATAATAGTGTTTTTGTGTATAGTCACAACCTGGAACAACATTCCTAAGGGACGTCTACACCTGCAACCAAGGAATCATTGATTTACTAGGAGGCCTCACTCTAGCTGGCCACTCTTTGCTTCTTACCAATGAGGTCTGTCTTTGACTACTTCTGAAAACACGTTGGTGGGTCCCAAGGAATTTCTCCTTTCAAGGAGGAGCCAAGGCAAGATAGCCTAACAGTTGGTTTCCTATGCGTCTCATGAAAAATAAATCTCCAGGCCGGGCGCGGTGGCTCAAGCCTGTAATCCCAGCACTTTGGGAGGCCGAGACGGGCGGATCACGAGGTCAGGAGATCAAGACCATCCTGGCTAACCCGGTGAAACCCCGTCTCTACTAAAAAATACAAAAATCTAGCCGGGCGAGGTGGCGGGCGCCTGTAGTCCCAGCTACTCGGGAGGCTGAGGCAGGAGAATGGCGTGAACCCGGGAGGCGGAGCTTGCAGTGAGCCGAGATCCAGCCACTGCACTCCAGCCTGGGCGACAGAGCGAGACTCTGTCTCAAAAAAAAAATAATAATAAAAAAAGAAAAATAAATCTCCACTCTGGGAGGCTGAGGCGGGTGGATCACGAGGTCAAGAGATCGAGACCATCCTGACCAACCATGGTGAAACCCCGTGTCTACTAAAAATGCGAAAATTGGCCGAGGGTGGCGGAAGTTGCAGTGAGCCAAGATCGTGCCACTGCACTCCAGTCTGGCGACGAATCGAGACTACGTCTCAAAATCAATCAATCAATCAGTCAATTAATCTGCTCTCAGTGTCTCCAGGCGGGCTTTCACCAAACCTCAACCTGGCATCTATTCCGGGATCCGGTCAGTAAGGAAGCGCCCACGGGCGGTCGAAGTACCGCTGCTATTTCGGCCCCGCCCCGTCCCGCCCCCAGCTTTGGATCCACCCTTTCTCCACCTCTTGCCCTCTTTAGAGCACCGTTCCCCTATGGCATCGCCCGGGGACACCAATCAAATGCAGCTTCACACTGTGACTGTGCCTGGGAACCCTCATTTTATTTTATTTATTTATTTTTGGGACGGAGCCTCGCTCTGTCGCCCAGGCTGGAGTGCAGTGGCGGTATCTCGGCTCACTGCAAGCTCCGCCTCCCGGGTTCAAGCGATTCTCCTGCCTCAGCCCCTGGAGTAGCTGGGATTACAGGCGCGCACCAACACGCCCAGCTAATTTTTGTATTTTTAGTGGAGACAGGGTTTCACCATGTTGGTCAGGCTGGTTTCAAACTCCTGACCTCGCGAACCACCCAACTCGGCCTCCCAAAGTGCTGGGATTACAGGCGTGAGCCACCGCGCCCGGCCCAGAATCCTCGTTTTAAATAAGCGCCACGCCGGACTTTGATTTTGAACTCCTGATCGGCCAACGGCACCTAGCAGAATACTTTACCGCTTACTACCCTTTCAGCCTCGTCCCTCGCCCGGTCCCGCCTCGCCGTCGTCCCCGCCCCTGCACGCTACGCGCCCCGCCCTCCGCGCTCAGCGAACCGGGGCCTTGTAAAGGAAGCGGAACGCGGCGGGAGAGAGCACCGGGGGCGGGGTGTCTGTCGCGCGGCACTGCGCGTGCGCGCGCGGTCTCTTGCGTCATTCAGCCGCGCCTATGTTTTCCGGCGCCGGCCCTGGGTCCCGGCAGCGGTGGTGACGGCGGGACTGGAGGTTGTCCTTGGCAGATTTTCCTCGCTCTTCTACATGGAGGAGGCGGTGCGCACGGCTTCAGCCCCGAATGCTCGCACCTCCCACTGGACGGCGACGAAGGCGGTGGCCGTGCGAGCGCAGGACTGGGCGGCCTGTGTGGGGGTGTGAGCCGCGGTGCCCCGGGCAGCGCCGCCGAGGGGAAGCCGCGCGGCCGGCCTGCCGACTAGGGTGAGGTCGCCACTCCTTCCTTTCGGGCGGGCGCCAAGGGGCTGACTTGCGGGCGAACCCGCCCGTCTTGTGTCGGAGAAGGGTTCTCCGGGCAACTTTCCTTTCCGGGTGTTCCGAGTTGGAAGCGGTTTTTCTGGTAATCCTCAGTGAGGAAACCCTCCGTGAATCGGGTTGCGGTTCAGTCCCACGGAAGCCTGGCTCTTTGGCCGTGTGGGGGACGCATGTTCATTAAGTTGTTAAAACAGTTTCGTGTGTCTTGGTGAGTTTTAGAAGGTGGCTTCAGCTGCTGCGGGGATCATAACTGACGGTTAAGCCTAAGAAGTCTGCTGTACGCTTTGAGCCTGGCAGTTTTAATTTCCTTTTGTAAAATCACGGAATCCTATTTCCCTCTCTATACACTTGCGCAAAACTGTGTGTTTAGTTTTGTGTTTGTGTCTCCTTAGTTTCTTTTCTAGGTTGTCAGTTCCTGTAATACAGGACTGCATGCTAAGTTCTGTTTCTGGAAATCCTGTGTATAGCCATGTGCCCGGTTAATACTTTTTTTAGTAAGAGGAAGTAATCAGAGTCGAGCGTGTCCATTCAGTAAGCTGCCTGTCGAAGCAGTAGTTATGCTCGGTTGAGTAGGTTTTATGTTGATTGGTTAACAAAATGAGTATGAAGGCTAGTAACCAAATTTTAAAACGTACTCGGTAACTTTAGTCTTTTGCCTGCTTCTGTGTTTTCTTCTTTCTAGGCTGGAGCTACTCGGCCAGGGTTTGAGACTTTAAATGAGAATAAAGGGTGGTATTTACGAGGAAATGAGAGTGAATAAGTCATCTCTAACCTCTCCGAGCCTTTTTTTCATAAGAGAGACCACATTAAACTTACATGTAAGTGAAAATTGTAATTTATAACTAATATTGTTGCCTAGTTAGGGTTGGAGATTTAGGTTCTGTAATATTTATAAGTACAGTACTGCTTTAAAAAATTGTTAACCAAGTGAGAGGTTGGAAAAAATTAAATCTAGCTTATGTATTTAATGTTTTTGAGCCAACGTGTTGCTCTGTCCCCAGGCTAGAGGGTGCGATCTGGGCTCTGCGCCTCCCGGGCTCAAGCGGTCCTCCCACCTCAGCCTCCCCAGTAGCTGGGACCACAGACGTGCGGCACCTTGCCTGGCTAATTTTTGTACTTTTTTTAGAGCCAGGGTTTCACTATGTTTCACACCTGCTAGTCTTCAAATCCTGAACTCATGCGATCCAACCACCTTGGCCTCCAAAGTGCGGGGATTACAGGTGTGAGCCACCGTGCCGGGCCTCCGCTAACTTAAATAGCAGTGGAAACCAAGTAGTAAAGATTTCGTAAAAAACTAAGAGCTCTAAAGTTGTTTTGTTTGTTTGTTTTTGTTGTTTTTTGAGACGGAGTCTTGCTCTGTCACCCAGGCTGGACTGCAGTGGCACAATCTCTACCCACTGCAACCTCTGCTTCTCGGGTTCTAGTGATTCTCTTGCCTCAGCCTCCCGAGTAGCTAGGATTACAGGTGTCCGCCACCACGCCCAGCTAGTTTTTGCGTTTTTAGTAGAGACGGGGTTTCACCATGTTGGCCAGGCTGGTCTCGAACTCCTGACCTCAGGTTATCGGCCCGCCTCGGCCTCCCAAAGTGCTGGGATTACAGGTGTGAGCCACCGCGCTCGACCTAAGAGCTCTAAGGTTTTAATGTAATGTGGGCAGTCGGGTTTAGAAGTAAAGGCCCTTTCTATATAGTCCTCTGCATGTGACTTTACCTCTGGGAGGTTTCCTTTCTTAGCTGTAAACTGATAACCTTCATCTCATTGTGTAGAATAGAAATGATGCATGGAATAGTGGCTAGGGAGGTGCTCAGTAAGTGGTAGCTGTTGTTAGGGAAAGATGATAAGAATTCCACATGTTTTCAGAATATTTCTAATAG